TATTGGTTTTCCCTCGTCTTTAGAAGTTTTTAAGTCTGTAAAAAAGAAGTTTTTGATTTTTTTTTTTTTTTTCTTTTTTTTTTTTAGATATTAAGAATTTGGATGAATTCAGCTCCTTTGCTCAGTTTTTATAAAATAACATAACTGATGGCAGCAAGTTCAGGTGTGTTATATTTAAATGAATCTACAGCAGTTGTTACATTATTGTTATAAAGGTGATTCTGAATAATTTCATACACATTTTTTAATGCTGACTATTTATGGTCTGAGTTTTCTATTCTCCTTTTCACTATGTTTTCTCTTTTATGCTATTTCACATAATTTAGGCTTTGCATAAAACACAATAAAAATACAGCCACTGTTCATTCAGGGGTTATAATAATAATAGAAATACTTTGATGCATCCTGTCTTAGGGAATCTAGTTACACGTTTTAGTTGATTTGTAGTAAACTATTGTACAGTATTATTTAAGATGAATGATGGTCATATGTTAAAAAAGTGTAGTACTTCTTCATTTCTCATTTTATTTACACCAAAAAGTTTGATTACTCCTTACAGTCTGAAAAACGCTTCTGTTAATTCTCTTTTTTTTTTTCTATTTTAGCTTGCATGCAAAAAATAAACATTACAACTATTTGCTTAGTTTGATTCAGGAGTTTGTCCTTCAATGGAAGGGTCATCAGTTTAAGCCCGGGCTCTGACTTTCAATGCTGTTGTGACCTTGGGCAAGACACTTCACCCTCCTTGTGTGCTGATGGTGGTCAGAGGGCCCAATGGTGCCTGTGTACAACAGCCTCGCTTCTGTCAGCAAGCCCCAGGGGAGCTGTGGCTACAATGTAGTTTGCCATCATCAGTGTGTGACTGAATGGGTTAAATACTGTTTCTAGTATAAAGCGCTTTGGTCAAGTCTCCTGACTTGAAACATGTCCTCTTGTTAGTGGTTTACAGCTAGCTGGAGGAAAGGTAGAAAAACAAAGCTAAACAGAATCTTGCACAGTTTTTTTAAGCGTTAAATTAGTGCTGAATTGCTCTACCCCCCAAAATGGTTAATGCCTTTGCAGGTTCATAGAACCAACATCACAGGGACGGTTTTCAGAATAAATCTACAGCAAGTCTTAAATGCAAAGGTGGGCTGTAACTAGTTACATTTATTCAAGTAACTTTTAGGGGACAAAAAGAACTTTTAGGAGTTGATTTCTTTTATTGTACATTTTACTTTTACTTGAGTAAGATTTTTGTAAGTGTGTTGCTCCTCTTATTTGAGTAAAATCTTCTGGTTACTCAACTCACTTTTGAGTTATTTGAAAATTTATACAGTAAACAGTAGATATTGTCTTTGGAAGTTAGTGGCTGGCTAGCTGGATGGTAAGTCACCCTGCCTTTAACCCCACACTGCTCAATGGGCACCGCACAGTGGCAGGCCACTGCTCCCTGAAAGGGGATCCCAAGGGGATGGGTTAAATGCAGAGAGTTCATTTCATTGCTCTGTACTTTTCACAGTGGAATGACAATAAAATGCTGGGAAAAATAAAAATTTCTTTATCCTTTCCCAATGCATATGTATTTCTTACTATAAAGATTGGTTTTATAAGTTTATGTTGAAAATAGTTATATGAAAAAGTGTAATATTTTGTAAACACTTGTCCATTTTTTTTCTTTTAATTATGTTTTATACCAAAAATACTAGAATTTGCCTAAAACTGTCAATCTGATCACTTAAACTATAAATCCAGTGTTAGCAGTCAACGGTTATTCACTTGATAACCATTTTACCATGCACGTGTTTTCTCTTACTTGAGATATTTGTTTGATTTTACTTTTAATTAAGGACAAAAATTATAAGTAGTAATACTCTACTTGGATACTATACCTACCTCTTAAAGATGCGCTTATTTATCTGCATATAATATGTTAAGCTGAGCTCCAAACTCAGGATCGCGCCTGTTTGGTTGCTGAGGGGCTAATGTTGTGATAGTTGAAATGCTTTTGGGGTGGAAGGTTTGATCTTCCTCATTTCTCAAAATACATTAAAACTAAAGACAAGTGTGGTTCGCATAATTCTGCTAATTGTTAATTTCAGATTTTTTGATTATTTGCAGATTAAAGATATAAAACCTTGGACAACCTTGGAATAATGTCAAATGGTGTTATATTTAGTGTATTCATTTTTGCATTGGTTTGCACACTTATTTAAATAAAAAAGGGTGATGAGTGGCTTGAATATTTTATTTCCCTCTGGTATTAATAAAGAATTTTTAAATTGAATTTGATTGTAATATCATCTGTTTATCTGTTGAGATGGAATTTCCCACATTGAGATTAAAATATGCTTCATTCCTTTCATTATTTCTCTTTTTTTGTTAACATTGTATTCCCTCTATATTTCCTATGTTTTTAGCAGGAAAAACTTTAATTGGAGACATTAATTATTGCTCAATTCCCTTTAGGGTTTCAGTAGATTATGGCAAAAACCTAAAACGCACAATCGCAGGAGTTTCCTTTACCAGTCAGCAATGTAAATAAACCCATGGATTTCTGAGGAATGGTGGTTATCCCCAAAAATCCCCTCTACCAACCTGTACTAGTCATAATTTCCAGCATCCAGTTCCTCCTAGTTTTCCAGCTCTTTCGTGCATCCTCTTTCAACCTCCCTCTGTGGAAATAAAACTTACTGTTGTCCAAGGCTGCATGGAACTTCCAAGTGGGTTTGCCATTGAGGACAAAGCAGGTTGCTTCCTAACTGCAGGGTTGACTGGGAATCCAGGAAGCCTTGGGTGATTCATCATCATGTTTTATTGGTTTATTGAGAGTGTTTCAGATGAAAACGTTTAGCTTTAGGAATGCAGGTTATAAATGTGGTGTTGCACTAAATAAAACAGAGAAATTTGCTTGAATATATCAAAAACAGATGCTTAAATGTTAATGGAGGAACTCCTGCGATGTCTGCTGCTCTCTGTTTGCCAGAATCTAATGTCTCTGTGTGCGTATGTTTGATCTCCTCTCTGCCTGTTTTTCAGATGGAGTTTGATGAGAAAGAACTCCGCAAGGAAATCAGCTATGCAATCAAGAACATTCATGGAATCAGGCACGTCCGTCCTTTAACTTATTCCTCTGTCCTTCTTTAATCTCCCTCCCTCAATCTTTAAATTACCACCACCTGATGCAGAAGTCTCTGACTTGAGCCCAGACCTTTTGAAATGGGCTGCTCTGCCTTGAGCAGATGTCAAAATGCATGCCAACATAGGAGTTTAGGAATATGATAGCTGTTAAAAGATACCTAAAACTCTGACCATTTAATTTGCTTTCATATCCATGCTGGTATCCGTCTGGTTAGGCAAACCCAGCAAGATATATCAACAGTTTTTAGGAGTGCATTCTGCTCTATTTATGCAGGACATATGTTTATAAAGAGCTGAAATCACAGAGGTGCTGTTTTTCACTGTGAGCTAGCAAATCATATTATTATTCAATTCTTTTAAATACTTGCTAAATATTTTAAAATATTCATTAAACTGAACAGATTTTTACATATTTTTATTTATTTACTCAGTAACTTTACAAGGTTCCATAATAAGGGCTTTGAAATTAATTGTTTTTGATAATATTCCAAACAGAGTTAAGGAGCAGAAATAATTGCATTTAGATTTAGGTGTTTAGTTTGTTGAAGAATATGACAAAACTATACAGAGTAATACAAATCAGCTTGAGATGCAACCAGGTTCAGAGTTGCGCTGATATAAATTTTATCCAGTTTTAGTTTATATTATGAATAAATATTATTTTATCTCTTTTTTGGCAGGAGCAACCATGACTTATTTACATTAAAGGCGGAGGTCTCACATTGTGTAACAGAGAAATGGATTAAAAACTGGATTTAATATTAAGACCTAAGGATTGACCCTTAACATCAAATAAAGCATGCTCCATGACATGAAAGCTGAAAGATTGAAAAGGAATAATGTTGCTGTGACCTGTTTACTACTGATTAATCAAGCTTGTAGTAGTTTGAATATTCAGCCAACATGGAAACTAGAGCCAGTTGTACAGAGCCACTACGGTCACAGCCCAGTGATGGTTGGTTAACACGTCACAATAGACAGGATGAAAAGTTCCGATATATTCCTAATCATCTGGTTGCCAGAAGTTCTTAAATGCAAAATCCTGAGTAAATTATATTCATATATATATATATATATATATATATATATATATATATATATATATATATATATATATATATATATATATATATATATTAAATTTAAGGATGTGCCTAACACTTTTTTATTGGTAGATCTAAACAATTTGTTTTAAATATTAAAATTTTCTAATGCTAATGATTTAATAAGCTCCTAAATCTATGGAAGAGTCTACTGAGGTAAATCTATTTAATCATCTTACCTGTCTTCAGGAAACTATTACTGAAAAAAGAGGTAAAAAAATTTATATAGATAAGACCTCTTTTCTAAAGTTGAATGTGATCAGTTTAGTGGAAAATCGGGATTAAAGGGTGAATCTTCATAATTAACATTCTTTTCTCTATCCAACCCTCCTTTTTTTTCTTTATTTTTACCACCTTTCTGCCATCTTTTGGCCCTGCTGTGGCTCGTTCTCTCCGTCTCGGACAGAACTGGCCTCTTCACCCCGGACATGGCCTTTGAGACCATTGTGAAAAGGCAGATTGGGAAGATTAAAGAGCCTTGCACCAAATGTGTGGACATGGTCATTTCTGAGCTAGTCAATACAGTTAGGCAGTGTACCAAGAAGGTAAAAATCCCAAACAAACATTGAGTAGCACCTGTTTCATTCTTGCTTTCAACCCTCGTCTCTCAGTCGTTCACTCCCTGTGGCTGTAACCACCTAGCTACCTCCAGCTCTTGTTGTTCTTGGACAGCGAGGGGGCTGCCTGGAGCGGCAGGGTGGGCTGCTGTTTACCTGCCTGCCTGTTGTTCTGCTTCAGACGGGTTTGGCTGGACAGGCTGCCTATAATTGTGCTGTGAAAATAAAATCCAGTGTGGAAGCTGAAAGTCATCAGAATATGATTGTTCACAGGACTAACTCTAAAGGTTCTGCAGAACTCAAGACCAAATTGAAGCTCTAAGCTTTCCTTGTATTGTATTTTAAACAATCCAAACATAACTTTAATGCATTTAATAGGATTCAAGTTGTCCTGCCACCATATCAGATGATGTCAGTTTTCAAACTTTCACATATGTGAGATCGCAGCCGTGCACCTGCAAGCGTGGAAGTTGCGGCCTAAAGGCTCTTTATCAGGCCTCTGGGACGCATGTTTCGCAGTGAAGCCAAGAGCAATGAGCAGAAGTCTTTATCCAAATGGATCCACTGTGACCAAATGATTTCAGCAGCGGCTGGCCTGCAAAAACATGGACTAGTTGGACAATAAATGTTAGGATTTGGATGCAGCTAAAAGTCGGAGGACATGGAGGTTGAGCGAAGAGTGGGTCGTTACTGTGGGTGGGTAGCGTCTTGGCTGAACGTCCAGGTGCACATCTGCAGTCTCGCTGAGTGTTGCTTTGAGTTTTGGCTGGTGGAGTTGTTCAAGCTGGGGGATCTCTCTATTTCTAACTATTTCTCTGGCCTTTTCTTTCTGTTTCCTCTTTCCTCATAGAGAGAGACTTCAGCACTGTCCTGTTTTAAAATGGCTTCAGGGAAAACCAAATGTCTCACTCGCAGTCTCTTCCTTCTGTGCCGTTTGTCCTTCCAATCCCTCAACCTCTTTCTCGTCATTTTCATCTTGAATCTCTCCTCTCTTCTATTCCATCTTCACCTTTTTTGTCCCTTTTAATAAAATTTCCCCAAATTATTATTCCTTTTCTTTCATTCCACCTTTTAATTTCCTTACTCCATTATTATCTCCTGTTCCAACTCACCGTTCACCTGCTCTTTTTTCTTTGTCCCTTTTTTTTTTTTTTTGCTTCTCCCTCTCTCGTGCTGCCTGCTTATCCCAACAGGACGGGGCTTTTTACCCCTGACCTGGCCTTTGAGGCCATAGTGAAAAAGCAGATCCAAAAGCTGAAGGAGCCCACACTGAAGTGTATAGATATGGTAGTGAGCGAACTCACCTCGACCATTCAGAAGTGTAGTCAAAAGGTAACATGGCAAAGCGAATAAAAGACACTTTCAGTATCTCTGTTAAGCCAACAGGTAGGGGTAGACTGATGGCTGAAGACATTTTTAACCAGAGTTACCTTCATTCACAGTAGATCGTCAAAAACTTTCAAATTATAAATGGTTAAATCAAATAATTATAATCATTAGCATTAAAACAAATCCTTTTAATTGTATCATTGCTTAATTTAAAAATATAAATCCATGGATCCTGAATAACGGGTATTTAGTTTAAATGTTTATAAGTCTTTGTAACTAATAATTATATGGATTTTCTTTAAGCGTTTATTTGCTCACAGTAGTAATACGCAATTTTATTGTGTTGCCAGTGTCAAACATATGGATCATTTCGCTGATAATCCAGACAGTAACATGTTTGTGTGTTTTAACATGTTTTAGGCCATTGTAGATCATGTTTTGCTTTAAAGACGATGAATATAATCATTGGAATCCATCAGATGAGAAAAGTCGTTGTGCTTTTTTTACCTTGTTATCAGTACCTATTAGCAAAATATTTAGCTCATTAAATAAATTTCCAATGAATATGTGATTAAATTAGATAATTTACATAAGTTTGCTTGAACTTTGGAAAAGAAATAAATGCTAAAGCTTTCATTGAAAGGGATGGAATTTGAGATTCATTCGGCAAATATCAGTCTATCCTTACCTTATTCAATCAGGATTTTAAGTAGACCTTTGTTGTCATTTGTCTCAAAGTCTCAAAATTATTTACTATATTTTAAGCTTATTAAGTGCATGTAATAGAAAAATATATTTCTTATTTTACCTCTCAATGTCTAGAAGTCCTTTAATTTGTTTTGATTAAAATCATATAATCCTGTTTCCAAAAAAGCTAGAACACTAAATTAAATATCAATAAGAGTAAAGGTTCAGAGCAGTTATATCATCTATTGTGTAAAATAAATATAAACAGTATAGATTCTTAGATTGCATTCAGAAGTCAGGCTGATTTAACATGATTTTTTTTTTTTTTTAGTACTTGATTAATCTGCTTTATTCTATAAAAAAAATCTGGGGTCTACAAAAAATCACTCACTACATAGCAAAAGTGCAAAGATTAGTAATGACATCAAAACATGCAGCAATAAAATCAGATGGAGACTAAATGCACTACTTAAGTGTAGAGAGACCGGGCAGGATAGATTTCCAAATTTATCTTTCAGTCCTCCATCTTTTTACTCAATGATTGCAGAGGAAGTTGTCACTCAAACACAAGCTGCTAAAAAAATAAACCCTTAAGCTGCTGAAACGCTATTTCTATTTCAGCCATATATATATAAGCCATATTCACTTTTCTTGAATTTTTAAGTTTACATTGAATTAGGACAGACATAACATATGTGTGTCGGCAACAAAGAAATACACAAATGCAAAATTCAGGTACACACATGAAAGGGAAGGTCTGTGATAACGCTCCTTTATGCACCATAGATGCAGCAGTATCTCACTGAAGGAGCCCTCGGTTCTGTAACAGCTTCATGCATTGTGTGGAAGACATGGTTCCTATTCTGTTTGGAAAACCAATTCACACACAAACCTTTAATTAGTTGATATATTTACATGGAGCTCCAACGTAACTTTTTTTCCCTTCATCATCAAATTGATTTCACCAAGTACACTAATCTGCGCTGTGTCACCTTCATGATGCTGTTCTTTACATCTTGAAAGATCTTCGCAGGTCTTCAGAACTTCCTTTTTTTATTTCCTTTCAGATTTGTGATGCTCATTATGACTAAACACTTTCTCAGGTTCCCTCATCCTCTATGAGCGATTTCCAAACCTTTGTTAGTTTAGGACTTGTTTACCGTAGATGCTAAAATTCTTACCAGCTTTTATTTAGATTTTTCCAAGTTGTAACACAAGACAGTGTATTGTAGAATTTATATTAGATTTCCCGACTAACCCATTAAAATTATTTATTAGCATCTTAAAACTTGTGATAGTGTTATCTGGGTTTTTTTATGCCTCGTTAAAAGGGAAAATATTCTTTATCTAGTAACAGTAACCTTATGATTTAAGAAATGGAAAAAAGGTAATCCTTATTCACCAAATCCAGAAAAGGCCCCCAAAAAAACATTTTTGGACATCAAATACTGTCGCTTTTAATTCAAGGGGGTCGTTTTTGCTTGAGCCCCCCTCCATATAAATAAAGGTTTAGAGCTGAAAATACTCTGAATGGGAGAAAAATTATAAGTCTAAGTAATGAACCACTTAAGCATTTATAATGCAGAGGTGAGTGCATCATCATTAGTGTAAAAATAGTGTCTTGATGATGGTAGATTTAGATGAAGAATAACTCCCTAATTGCTGCAATATTTAAGAAGCACATATATAAATTCTGGAGCAGTGTAGAACTAATTATTTGTATGTGGGATATCTGAGTTTTAATGCAGAATTTTAAAACTAATACCCCCAAAACCTGTGGCAATCTGGATCCACTGGAGGTCAAACTGTGTAAGCTGTATCTTTTTATATGTATAGAAAGCTGATGTTTTAAAATAATGTTATTAAGTGAGATCCATGTATCTTTATATGATATTAAGAAAAATAAGTTTTTATTCATTATTGTGAGGTATACAAGTAAGAATGACTATACAAATAAGTAAAAACACAAATAAAAGTGGAGGTGAACTGGAAAATAACCATAATTTTTTGAGGTGTAATAAGTTTTTTTGTTCAGGTTATCATAGTAAGTAAAAGTAAATATAACTCTAGTTAGGCTTAATTATTTGCTCCTCACCTTTTTTGGAAACAGGTTTCAGTTTTTCTGTCCTTGTCAATTTACTATAATTTACCAGAATTACTAATTGTTTCATATCACTCACCGACTAACCGACTCTTTCAAAACCTCTCTTAATTTCATTTTTTTTAATTCTTCCTCTATCATACACACCTTTAAACCTGCTGCTTCCTAGAGCTTGACCTCTTTGGGATTTTTCTTTTCCTCTCACACATTTTCTTCTCAGAGAAATACAGCATTTCATGATACTGTATTCTCATACACAATATTTAGAAAAATCCAAAAGAGGCCAGTTTAAGGTCTTCCTCCCTGTCTTGTGCCTTCCTTCCTTGGAGTCTTTGCATTGCATGCTAGTCTTACAGTACAGGATGTCTGTTCTTTGAGGAGAAAAAGCAAATGTATTTTGTCCAATTTAAGTGTAAGATGTGTTTCTGGTTGAGTTTTTGTTTTAAACAGTAAACACATTGGATTTTTAACATCCTGTGTCTGACTTTAAGCTACAATGCATCTTTCATGTTTCCCTTTAAGTTGGGTGAATCTGCCTTTTATTATGCCGTTGTTGTTGTTTTTTTTTTTAGTTTCGAAAGTTTCCTGATAAGTTGTGATTGTGAAAACAACCTCACAATCCTCCTCCTTCAAATTTGTTTTTCCATTCCTGATGGAACAATAGTGACAAAACACAGCTACCCTTGAATGAATACCTTTTATCTTTAAACCTCTAACAGGGTTTTGGAAAAAGGAAATCTCCCTCAAATGAAGCTCAGCGGGCAGAAATGGAGAAAAACCTCAATTATTCATGCAATATAAGTTCCATCTTATCTTTCTGTGCTGCACCAAAGTTCAATTTATTAATACCAGACCCAGCTTGTCACTTAAAGTTATAACATGTAGACAGAGGGAAACCGTGACAGAGTGACCTCAAAGAAATAGTCCCTCTTCATCTATTTCAAATTTTAACAAGGTCATAGTTCAACTTTCAGTACTACATTTTTCTCCAGCTTGTGGTCTCATCATCGGCCCTATAATGGATACAGAAAGCATTAAATTTGCTTGTGGATCAAAAATGGCTCAATCTACACTCCTCCTTTATCCATCAAACCATCATCTAGATGTCAAAAGATGCATTGTGACCTAAACAGAAACAGCGAATTGTTTTTCTTTTTTTATTTGCACTGGGAGTTACTTTTTAAGTTCAGCTTGCTTTTGATTTTTCTTCTTCTTTCCTCACACTTTGGCTAACGTGTTCATGTCACATTGGAGGCCCACCAACGTCTGTGCTTGTGGGTTTGCAATGAGCTCATGGAAAAAGACCAGCAGTGTGCTGGGAAGAGGAAGCTTTTCTGCCAGAAACATTGTTTACTCTGTCTTTTGTGTGGTAATATCACAGATTCTGCTCTTATCCCTTTTTTTCCTCCCATTTTGGCAACAGATAGATATTCAGAAGTTGAAATCCAATCTTGAAACAATTCCTCAAAGTCTGCAGGGATTAGAACCGAGTCTGTGACGAACCCAGAACCCTCAGAATAAAGTACATTTAAAGGTGTTGTTTCAGTGCAGCTAAAATGTTGTGGTTCAGTGAGGAGTGTAATGCTGTGTGTTGATGTCCTACTGTGTGTGCTCATTTGTTCCTACCTGCTGGTTTCTGTGCTCACAGCTGGCTCAGTATCCCATGCTGAGAGAAGAGATGGAGAGAATTGTCACTCAGCACATCAGAGACAGAGAAAACCGCACCAAGGATCAGGTACACCCAAAAAGACGTGATTAACTACTTATTAACCTGTGTGATAGAAACAGTTTAGTTCTTGATCACCTTTTCGACACATTTTTTATAGGTTTAGGTTATATTTGCTGATGCAGTCACAATGGTCTCCTAAAGCCTTACTTTTTTAAGAAGGAAATGTTAACTTTTGCTTTGAAAATTAATACAATTTGATCTAACCTAGACTGCTCTCTGTGAGTTATGTTCTCACAACTAGAAATATTATATAGCTGTAGCTGAAGAAACAAAGAGAATACATTATTTTAAGGAAAAACATATATTTTTGAATTATGGAATTGACAGAATTTGAATTACATCTCAATAAAGATAATTGGTTTCTCCTTCAATGTCCTGCTTAATTCAATAAAGTTTGTTGCTTCATCTGCTGTTAGTTTGAAATGGAGTTCCATTTCGGTCTGCTTATTTATAAAGCACAAATTAGCAGCAGATTTGATTAAATCACATTGTGATTTCATGTAAACTGAACTTTTAGCCATTGCCCCACCCTTAGACAGCATGTTTTAACAGTGCATATGAACTGCACCCTTTTAAAAAGAAGAAACCTTGTTGCAGGATAGCTCAGTTTATTTGTTCATCTTCTTTGAACCTTCTGAGACTGAAAAACCAAAAAGAGAATATCAGCACTCATGTTGGAAAAAAAACATAGCAAATACATGTTAAATTAAATCATTGTGCTATGGTTTTTGCTATTGTAAAGCCAGCTCAAAATAATTCATTTTATTTTTTATGTAAAAAAAATGTTTTTCCATAACCCTTAAATTGTCTATCTACTCTTTTAATAAATGGTTCTACATTCACGGTTAATAGAAAGTCTGTCGCTTGTAGGATTAAGTATAAATATTGTCTTTATTGAGGTCCAAGTCTATTTCAAATGCAAAATCAGAGACCAGAGAGTCCATTATCTGTTTGGTAATGATCAATTTGTGATACAATAAAACCACTGGAGTGTTTGTGTTAAAATACATTAACCCAAAAACCAGAATGCGTAAGTGTATCACAAATTGATGATATGCAGCTAGTGAAAAACAGCTTAAACTGCTATTAAATATAAGCTAGATATTTGGAAGTAACACACTGAAGCTGTGTTTGCCTAATGGGGCACAAACAAAAAACTGACTCAATGTCCAAACAGAGTCACACATTTTTTAAATAGAATATTTTACATCTGGATAAAAATGTTATAAAAGGTTTTTTGTCTTTTTTATCTTTTCTCCCAGTCTGATTAGGGATTATTTTTGGTTTATGTTTGCAATAAATTGAAAGCAGAAAGTAATTTAATCTTTTTGAGTCTATGTTTATTTATTTCGAATCATACTGTTTTTTTTTAACATTGACCAAAATGATTACCTATTGCATTTTCTTTAGAATACAATATCTTAACTGTGGGAGTATTTTGTTTTAAAAAAAAATAAGATAAACAAACCTTTAAAGAAAAATGCATTTTTGATATCTAAGTTTTGAAATGTTTTACTTGACTTTTATTGTTGCCCTTTATTTGTATTCCTGATAGATGTAAGAACAAACAGTTTAGAGTCCCAGGGTTAATCGGGGGAAAAAACATCATAAAGATAAAAATTTGATATAGTTATAAAATGTTTGCGAATCAGAACAAAGGAAAGTATAATTAAATACATATATTTTTATTGCTTCATCTCTTGGTTCCATGAGATGCTCAATAAATATGGCTTTATTTATTGTCTTTGAATGCAACAAGTGTTTAGGAGCAGACCTTAACTCGTTAAATGGGAAACTTTTACTTTTATAGCAATATCATTGCTTTCAATCATCTTTACAGGAGATGCTGCAAAAACATTGAGGTTTCATTTACCTACTTTTAATGTAGCTGTTTTTCTTAATAACTTCAAGTTTTATGAAAAACTGTTATTGCAAATTACCTAAAAAGTCTCTCTGTGACAGTTGGCAGCGTTCCGCTGGCAGTATACCATTTTTTTTTTCTATTCAAGGACCTCTTCTTAATGTAAACAAATATCCAAAGCTGAGATAATTTTCCTTAAAATGTCTCTTGGTAAAGGGGGAAAGTGTCTCCACTAAATGCATGTCAAGTAAAAATCCCTCAGTGACAGATTGCTGTCTGCTTCTCTGTACAGGTGCTGTTGCTGATTGATATTGAATTGTCCTACATGAACACCAACCATGAAGACTTCATTGGATTTGCAAAGTAGGTTTTTTCTTTTAATGGCTTCTTGTGTAGAGTCCTGGCATTGTTGTCTAAGCTTATTCCCCCTTCTTTTATTTTACAGTGCTCAGCAGAGGATCAACCAAATGAACAAGAAGAAGACAGCTGGAAATCAGGTGCTTCCATTAGAAAAACACTCTACTTTCATATTCTCCAGCCAATATTGTTCCAAGGAAGAAGTAGAAGAATGAGCTGTAGGGTAACTAAAATCTAAGGCTGAAATGATTAAAATGTGTTTGATCTTCTGGACGGCAACCAGACGACTAAGTGCAGTTTCCCTCCTGGCTTCGTTCTGTCAGCACTCAACTCCCTGTCTCCTCTCATGTTAAATGCTGCTCAGCTAAACAGTATTTTGTTACCACGGACGACTTCCCGATTCCTCCACAAAGCAGGAGTCATCTGTAGTACTGTATGTGTTGCGCGCTATTATGCAGCAGTTGTTTGATCGTCAGAATTTTTTTGCTTTTTGGTGAAAGCAAATGCTGTGTCGGCACATGAGGAAACGTAATTGCTTTAGGTTGCAGAGTGGAGCCATTGTCAGCTCTGAAGGTTCTCAGTTCAAATCCTGGTCAGGGCCTTTCTGAGTGGATTTAGCATGTTTTCTTGGGCAGGTATGGAGGATTTTGAAATAAAAAAAATAATAGTTTAATAATACACTCTAAATAACTGCCTTTAGGCAGAGGGTTGAGAGTCCTATTGTGGCTGCAGAAGTACTGCAGGAGTCTGTCAAACCTCTCGGCCTTCAAACTGGAGGAAATTTCTATATGTGACACTTTACAACTTTGCATCTTGATTTATTTTCTTGTATATTTCCTGGAAGACATTAATTTTAACACCCTATGTGCTAAACAGGTTTAGCCTTTGTCGTCCACCCTTCATCAATAAAAACCCAGTCACACAATTACTGAAATAAGGGATTAATTCCGATAAACAGGTGAGATAAGAAATCTAAAGTGTAAAATAAAGTGGTGTGCAGCACATTAGCTGAGAACAGGTTTCTGACATCAAATGTCTTAATGCACTTTGCTTTTTTTTATTATTCTTCCTGCAATTTCCCCACATTTTAACTCTCTTTCTATTGCTAATTCTTACTTTTTGTCTTGTCAATGATTGTATTCACTTGTGATGCTGTAAAAGTGTTTGTTCTGTTTTTACTTCTCTGATGCAGTTATGAGTTTTAAAATTATCGAAGATTTTGTTTTAAAAAGATAACCTGAGTGACTACAAAAAAAACAAGTATTCAAACAAACTTGTGGATAGATGAAAATTAGAAATGCTCTTGTTAAACCATTAATGAACTGTAAATAACCTTATTCATTGGGAAACTTGAGTTTAATCTGGCTAGATACAACTTGTTTGACAGCACAGAACAGAGAAGTTACCTTAAAAAGGCTGTTCAAATCTGGAAAGTGTTACATTGCCATTACTATGGTGTTGGGTCTCCAGAAAACCAATCAACAATAAGAAAAAGAGTTCCTATACTGCTGACTGAGAAAAACACAAAGACCACATTATATTTGCCAAAAACATCCTGATGATCTGAAGACTTTGAGGAAAACTGTTCCTGGCCTGAAGAGATAAAAGAATAATCTTTTTGGGAGCCATGCCTCCATTTACATCTGGCAAAGCATTCCGGCAAAAACAAAACAAAAGAAAAGCCTTTATAATGACAGTCAAACATGGTAGAGATTTTGTGATGATCTGGTTCTGCTTTGCAGCTGTAAGACCTTGATGACGATTTATGGAAGCATGAATTCTGTTTTCTACAAGGAACAGCTGAACTAAAATGGCTCACCATCACTTTGTGACCATAAGCCCAAAGGCACCTGGGTTAGTTTGTCGGAAAACAATTCGAAGCCAGAAGCTGGCTGGAAAAAAAAAAACAACTAAAAAAAAATGTAGGTTGTCCTAGTCAAAGCCCAAACTTAAATCCAACTGAGATGCTGTAGTATGATGTTGAACACAATCCTAGTGTTTAAAAAGATACTCCAGTTTTGCTGAATTAGTCTTTGTCTTCTCCATTTATTTGATTTGGGGCCACTTTTTTATGATTTTAAATATAATCAAATTTAAAAAAAATAGTTTTTAATTAACTCAGGTTGTCTTTGTCTAATTTGATGACAAAAAACCTTAACAGATAAAAGCAAAATACACAATTAGGAAGGTAAACACTCTTTCACAGCACTGCTTGTTTCCTTTAATTGTTTTCTCTATTCCTCCCCTCTTTCTTTGCCTCTCTGGGTTTTTTTCTGTTGCAGGATGAAATTATGGTGAGTTTGCTGTGCAGTTTTTTAAATATGCATGTCTACATTTTTCTTCCACTGCGTATGAGCTAATTTTTTTGCTTATGCAGATAGATTAATCCTGTATATATTGAAACTTTTTTTTCTCTTTAAAAACATTTCATACAGTAAATTCTAGATATATTTGGGTTAAATTACTTATTTTGTAAAAAAGATGCTTTCAGATGACATATGCTTAGCTGCTTCCCTTTCCATCCCTTATTTGTCTTTTTGCAAAAACACTAGAATGCTAGACTGCTAGACTGAACAGTTAAGATATTAAACAGTATATGTTTTGATAGGATAGAGTTTCTCCAGCTCTAGTTTTAATTAAAAAAAGATCATCTTAAAGATAGAGAAAAATCAAAGAAGTGATGAAGATTTGAAGGCCTTTTAAAAGCATTATTTATGGTTTATAAATCAAAGTGTCCCTTTTATATTTACATAAAGTAACAGAAGAACAGACGCATAACAAGACTTGCAGTATGAGGCACATATGGCACCCCTGCTGTTTTCAGTTGTCATAACAACCAACATGATTGGGGCCAAAGGTCAGGGGCACACTATAAACAAATCGGTGAACTTCACTTCCTGTTTGGAACCTGGAGTTCTTTGCTGTTGAAAACCAGCAGCTATTTATTTACTTTTTTTTTTGTTTTACATTTGCACCTTCACACTTTTTTAAAATGCAACTCAGCGGTTAGTTTTTAAGTGAAGAAAAAAGCTCATATATTGCATTTAATCAGGTGATTGTGCTTAAGTTAAGATTTCACTGAAAAAAAAATAAAAAAGTAGAAAACTGTCGAGCAGATCCCTGTTATACTGCAGCCTCCACGTTGATCATGAACCCCAGGAAAAGATTTGCTCAACACCTTCAAATAAATGTATTCTTAAATGCAATGGAATCCTCTCATACTGAAATATTACTGCCATTATCAAAGTGTAAGCTTGCTCTGCACAGCTTCAACATAAACATGGGGCCTCATCGCTTTCTTTTGTCACACTTTCAATCATTTAAACTTTGGTTAAGTCTCTGGCTGTAGATGTTTACAAGCTTAATTAAGGATACATCTGAATAATGGCTTCAATTTCCCAGTCGACCAGAGTTTGGTACCAGAAAAAGGTCTCTGTGCGAGACTGTATTTACACCTCAGGGAGACAGAAAGTTATTGAATACACTGAATATTTGTTGATACTCTGAATCACACACTGCAGTTACATTTATTTCAGCAGATGGTAGAGATGTCAATAGATACATATGTACAAATTCTTAGGATTAAACAAAGGGTGCCCACCCTCTAATGTATCTGATTAATGAATACCTCTTAATGTTGTTTTAGTGTATAGTGTTTGTTCCATGAGGCTGATTCCTTATACTTTATCTTGCCACATATGGTAGGTT